GGGGGGGGGTTTATACCAAATCATCACGTTGATATGGTATAACCATTGAATGATAGACCAACATGTGAGTAAGTTAATCTCACACGAGGTAATTTCGTAGTTACTGCCTAGGATTGATAATTGGTCTAGCCAAGCTTTGTGAATGATAAGGTAGTCGGAGTTTTGCGAGCTTAAGTTGAATTTGTCGAGTTCATTTTTTTAAATGAATCTAAAAATTAATCAAATTAAACTCGTTTAGAAAATGAGTGAAGCCAGAGACAAGTCTAAAACGAATCGAATATGAGTCGAACCCGATTAACTAGATTATTTTACATATAAATGGATCAAATTTAAATAATTTTTTAAACTCACTTAAAAAATAAGCATAAAAGATCGAATCGAATTTTATCGAGCCAGGCCGACTAGATCGGCTCAATTATCGGTCATAATTGTCAATGTGAGATAAAACTTAAAAATGGCAGTTTAGTCATTTCAGCAGATTACCCCATAATCTATTCATTTCTTTGAAAAACTCGTCCCTCTTTAACCATGTGGAACTACCTCTCTCTCTCTCTCTCCTTCTAGTATTTCTCGAACCAGATACCCACTTTATAGCATTTGAATTCTGAAGCATAATTGTCGATACACATCAGAAGCACAAGTATTACCACCATTCTCATTCATTACTCTAAGGAAGGTACTGATACTGCCTATTCTTGTGTTAAGATTTTAGTTTTCCATTTCTTTGATTTGTATTTATATGATGGTTTCAACTTCGTCATCTCCAGTGCTCTAGTTGTTGTTACTCACCTTCTGGCGCTGAATTGTGCTGGATCTTTGTCTTCTGTTGGTCGTTTTGGGTTTTTATTTTACTGGTTTCTGGTTTTGATTTAAGCTTGTAGAAGTACTGTTCATGTATAATTGATTTTGTCACAGCTCTGTTTGGTCGTTGAGAATGTAGGGGAAGACAATAGAATTGTTAAACCTTAGTAAATCTGAGAAATTTGTGTCATTTGAAACCCTGAAACTAAAATGCTCTCTGGGTTTTCTTTTTCTTGTCTTTTCTTTTCTTTTGATTTCCACATTTTGTCAATGATTATGCTGAGATCATTTGATGAATCTTTGATAAGTTGAAGAAGAGAGAGAAGAGGATTCATTTAGAAAGTTTTGAAGCAGAAATTGTGATTGTTTTTTTTTCCAATCTTCTGCAGTCGCAATTCAACTACAGTTCTTAGAAATTTTGTCTGTGTGTACTTTTCTTGATTTGGTTGTAGAAGATCCACAAAAGAATGGAGTCAGAAAATGGGGTTCCAGTAGAAGATGAAAAAAGAGGGGTTATTGAGAAAAGTGTTGTGGAAGAGTCGGTTATGGATGCAAAGAAAGAGAAAGAGAGTGTAGGCAATTGTGAAGAATTTTGCAATGGGAGTGAAGTTTCCGAAAATGTGACAAAAGAAGAACAAGGACTTAATTCATCTGGACCATCGGTTCAATCCACTGGGAGTGTTTCAGAGAGTAAAATATCAAATCCTGTCAAAGCTCCAAAGGGTGGTAGTTCAAAGAACACTGAAAAGGCTGGGAATTGGCCCCATCCAAAAGGCACAGGAGTGATTGCTCGTAGCACAAGGCCGAACTTGACACAAAGCCTATCTTTCCCTACAACAAGAGGGCTTCATGCTGATGTTATGAAAAAGAGCATTGATCGCTATCCACTGAAATCAGATGCCAAACATTCTCGAGCAAATGGGCCAAAAGCTGAGGTTTCATTGTCAAATGGGGCAATTACTTCAGTTTCCCGTTTCAATGCAGCCAGCAGGCGAGCATCTACTGGAGTAAACTTGAAAGAAGCAAACACAAATGGTGGTAGGACATCCTCCAGGCGAGCATCCGTGCCAAGTTTGAGTCAATCTCTGGTAAATTTTGGTGGTGTTAGTGAGTTAGTCTTTTCTCCTTCTCTTCTGCTGTAGTTACTGCCACTCATTTCACTCTTGTTTGTGTTGTATCAGTCGGGAAAATCTCTTTCCGTCAATGGAACTGCAAACTGCCCTCCAGCTTCAGTCTCCTTGTAAGTCAGACTCCATGGCTGCATATATTAGTGGAAACGTATATTGTTTGTGTGAATTATGCAATGATGATTTGTGTTCTTGGAGGATATTGTTGTCACTTTCTTTGAAAATCAAAGCATGCGAAGTGGACTTCCATTTGTTTGTGCTGAATGGGCTTAGTTATATGAGTTGTTTCTAATTACAGATCAGTTGATCAAGTTTCAAAACCTATCAAAACTGCACTTCCAATCAAGGAGGATGATGATGCTCATTCCACTACTTCATCGTACAATTTTTTATGTTTTGATATTCTTCTTTTTTTATGCATCTCCCTTTCCTGGATGTGTACTAATTGATATATGTATTGTTATCAGGAGTGCTACTCATGGGCAGACGAGGAGTAGTGTCTCAGGATTTTCCTTCAGGTTGGATGAACGTGCTGAAAAGCGAAAAGAGGTAGACAATGCACTTTTAAGTCCTCTGTTGCATTTTCACCGACTTTCACATGTAAATGATAAGTGAATATTGTCTTTGTTGACCAGTTCTTTTCAAAGATAGAAGAGAAGATACAAGCAAAGGAAGAGGAGAAAAGTAACCTGCAAGCAAAATCAAAGGTGCAAGAATTGACATTCACAATTTTTATCCAAAGGAATATTCTTATTTATATTATTGTTTACATTCTCCCATACTATTTTACATCTAATTTCAGCTTATTCACACTGTTCTTCCCTCTGTGAGAAAATGCAGGAAAGTCAAGACGCAGAGATAAAGCAACTGAGGAAGAGTTTGACCTTTAAAGCTGCACCCATGCCAAGTTTCTATAAAGACCCCCCTGCAAAAGTTGAACTGAAGAAGGTAACTTGTCTATCTATTTGATTTCCATTGGTAATGCTCTTACAAGAACTCTCTACACATTGCAGCTCAAGTTTTGTTCCTGCCACTTTAAAGTTGTAAACAAGGGTTATTTCACTCCTTACATAGGCTATGCTTACCATAGTGCTCAACTAGCCAGGCAGTCAGCACAGTGGTTTCCTTCCTTGAGGGAGTGTGTGATTGGAATGATATTTATACTCATCAGGTGGTCGCAGTTGTCAACGATTGCACCATAGGGTTATTTTCCTCCAAAAATGTTGGTTAAGTAAGCTGTAGCCTTCAAAGGTCTTTGCCAAGCTTTTTGTCCTCTACCAGCTCCTCATCTTTGTAAACAAAGTTCAGCTTTAATGCTCGTAGCTTGGTTAGCCTTCTATAGAATCCTGTTTTCCACTGGCTTTGTTCATCTCTTTTCCATCCTCCCATTCCTGCTGTCCCTTGGGAGCAACCATCGGTATTGAGCTTGACCCAACCTGCAATTGGGAAGGACCATGATAAATGCTCATGTTGGGTTTGACTTAAAATGGCTGGAATGTTGGAGGTATGCAACAATCTAGAATCTATTTTAGGTTGTACTGTATTGGTCGCCAACAGGCGCATTGATACCACGACTGTGTTGGTTGCCAACAGGCACATTGATACCACTACTGTGTTGGTCGCCAACAGGCGCATTGATGCCCGTGGTACTAGTGATTGTAATGATGATTCATGGACTCTATTACTGACTTTTGAGTGGATGTATGCATGCAGACATGTACTTGTGCATATTTTGCTTCACTATTCCCTCCTTGCTTGAATCAGGATCTTAGAATTTTCATCTACTTGACCTTCCCAATTCTATTTCTAGGAAAGATATTGTGGGTCATGGCAGTTGGCACCTTGTGGAAGTGCTGGAGTCCAATTACTATAAAGGCTTAGCATTCAGCTGACCAATGGACAACCATCATCCATTCCTACGTTCAAGCCTTATGATACAAAAGTTTAGAAATATGTTCTTGAGACTCTTGGCCTGAAGCTACAATATAATATGGTAGAATTTAGATTCTTAGTACATACAAGGGAAGCATCAAATCCTATCTGGAGGATTAGATTGGAGTAAATAATTTGATGAATGCATCTTTTACATGAAACTTGTATCGTTTAGAATCGTGTTTTAGGTGAGGACTCAGAAGTTCTGAGTGCTTATCTTTGATCTGTGGTCTGTTGTGATCATCATTGTTTTGCATAAACTTTTCAGCATCCATCATGATCACATCTTGTTTTCTAAAGTCCAAATTGCTCAATCATACTGGTTTACTTGATGAGCAAGGTATGTGTAATCATTTGACTAATAAATTGCTTATACTTATCGGAGATCAAATGTGAAGACATTTAACCAGAATCAGTTTCACAAATGTGGCACTTGAGCAGAATCAATTTTGTCACTCATCATCAACACACTTTTAGATCTGTTAATTCGCCTTATCACTGCCTAAACTCTTTCCTCATCTTCTCTTTTCACTTGGTTTGTCTTATATATCAGCATGATGTTCATAGTGATTCTCTTGATTTATTAGATACCAACCACACGCCCAATATCTCCAAAGCTTGGAAGGCACAAGAGCTCTACTGCCGCTGCAAACAACTCCTTGGAAGGTGGTGGGCCATGTCTTAGCCCACGAGTGAAACATGACCCGGGCAAGTCACCCAAGGCTATCCAGGCAAATGGTGACAAGGATGCTTCAAAGCAAAAATTTAGGAAATCTATATCCAAGCCTCAATCACGGGAAGCTCTGCCCAACAAAACTGAAGGAAAATCCAGCAAGATGAAACAAAAACCTGCAGATGCCGAAGGCAAAAATGAGAAAACTTGTGCAGGAGAATCCAAAGAACTCCCCAATCAATCCATGAAACCTCCTGACCTTGAATGTGGGATAGAAGTAGAGTCTGAAAAGAATTCTACTGTGGACAATGGACCAATTGTCAACGAGTTTAAGCCAGATACTGCGACTGCTGAAGTCACTGTTGGAGGTTAAAGTACATAAATTCAGAACCTTGTGCTTCATAGTTTTTCAAGGTTTTTTTAAGTTCAATTGTGTTGTGAATAGTGTGGTCACTTAGAAAATTATAAGTTGGTGTCTATAGGTTTACATAAACATTTGTTTTGTTTGTTAAATTAAGAAATGTATGGCTAAAGTGAATGGTTCTGATGGATTGCCTCAGCTTTTATATTTAACAGATTTTTCTGCTTTTCTGAATTCACACGGAACATGAAATTCACTTTTTTTGTTTCGGTTTTAGCATGGAGAAACTGCTTGAATGGCTTCATATATTCGTGGATGGCAGTTGTAATAACTTGCAGCGGATTTTCTGAATGGAACCACACGGAGGAATTGTTAACCCCCCACTCCACTCTATTTCCTCTATCCCAAAGTCTTCAGTGAGTATGGACAATGGTTCCAAACTATTGTTTGTTTATTTTTCGATATTGTTCGCGATATATTATGTCATTGCATATCCCCCCGTGAAGAAACACATCTGAATCTTGTGCTTACTGATTGCCTGAATATCTGTTAACATCTGGATTCCTAACAGATAGTCGCCCCTCAAACTGTGATAAAAGTTTAGAACACCACCGCCATGAACTAAATTCTTGGATCCGTCCTTGCATTAGATATATGTTTTTTACTCCCTCTATTTCACTACATGTATACCTCCCCTTTAGTTCATTTGTGTGCCCAGAGTGAACAGCAAGAAATTAATGAGTGCAATCTTTGGACTGATAATTATATGGACTATCATTTACTGGTAGTAGTGGATGCACATCATCTTCACAACAAAACCTTTTCAATCAGGACTCTGGTTTTGTGTGCCCAAAAATGGCAGTGAGCTGCAAGGAACGAGCACAATCTTGAGTTTTAGACTGATATTTAGGTGTTGATATGGACTGACATTAATGTGGACTGATTTAGGTGTTGATTTGTGTTCCCCCCTGACAACGAGAGGTGGTCCTGAAACTGAGTCCGAAGGAAAGGTCTGCAACCGAGGCTATAGACTATGTTGTTTACCCCAACACCATGCACTTTAAAAACGAAAAACCTTCTCGTGATATTTCAACAAGTTGAAGTATAAATTTTTAAGTTATACCATTTCTAAAATCTTAAACTTTTAGATAAGATGGCAGTTTTACAATTTTAGGTGATGCTGTCGAGACTTTGAGTGAGTTATGCAGGGCGGCCCAATCCCTTCTTTCTTTGGTTTGTGCTACTATTTTTTTTTTTATTTGTGTTATGAAAAATATACCAAAATATTTTTGATTTTTTATTAAGCTTCAAAAATTAAAATCACTATAGCATGATTGTTTAAAATTCAAAAAAAAAAAAAAAGATAAAATTTCCCTAAAATCGACTAATGGATTAGTGATATTATCAATATTAAAAAAATATATGATAATGAAACTTAAACATAAAACCTAATAGAACTTTTAATCTTAAAAAATAAGAAGAATAAATTTTAAATAAAAAAATTATTGATATTAAAACTAAAAAGTCTCATTTTTAGTTACCACTTTACACCCCCAAATAGTCTTGGGCAGCTGCTGGAGTCGTGGTTAGCAAACACGATTTCAATGAAGTCACGGCTCCAATCACTCATTTAGGTGAAGTTGCAATTTTTTTTTTATATAGAAACGGTAGAAATTCAATTGATTAGGAATATCCGAAAAGAGGAAGGATATTATGAAATCAGTTGTCTCATCTCTAGGTGTCAATTTTTGACTCGAATACGAACTTGAAAATAACACGATTAGTTGACACGAGTAATAAATGGGTCAAATTAAAGTTCGACACGAATAACACGATTAATTGGTACAGTATATAAAAAATAATTATTTAATGAGTATTGTAGATAGAAAATAAGAATTTTTTAATTTTTTAAATAATATTATATTAATTATTGTCAAATTAAATATTTTTTATTGACACGTACCGAAAGTGATATGACACGAAAATAACATAATTGAAAATAACACAACATAAAATTGATACGACACGACACGACACGACACGACACGATTAACACCCCCCTATCCCGTCAACCTCCCATACATCAAAACATCTAAAGCGAATAATGGATTTAGCTAACTTATATGCTACCTTGTTTCCTAATTTTGGACACATTATGATAGTTGAAATTATGCAAACTAAGCCTGATGTCTAGAAAAAGTTTTTTTTAATTGGAAAAGTTTATTTCACCGATTCATCACAAAATTGAAAATTTTAATTTAAATAAAATTCTAATATTAATCGAGCCAAACTTTAGGAACTTGAGTCTAAATCTGTCGAGCTTGTTTTTTTAAATGAGTTTAAAAAATTGTTTAAATTTGACTCGTTTAAAAAATGAGCTGAGCTCAAGCCAAGTTTTGTGAGTTCGAGTCGAACTTTTTTGTGCTCATTTTTTTAAATAAGTTTAAAAAATGTTCGAGTCGAACTCAAGTTTAATCTGGTATAAAATCCAAACGACTCGGCTTGATTAACACCCTAATAATTGCGTAACGATTTCAAATATCTAGAAAGTTAGAAATGGTTGACGCCACTCACACTCGGCCTTCCGTCGATCATTTATTGTATTCGGACTAAAGTCATGTTTGGCAATGACAACTGCATGCTAATTTTCAATTCTAGCTTTGGTTTAATATTTTTCCGATTCAACATCACATCATGATTGCTAAGCACGACTTAATGAACTCGTATTTAACAACCGGGAGTCTGGAAATTTGTCTTTTAAAAAAATCTAAAATAATTTATCAGGATAACAAACATACATCTAGAACTGATAATCGAACCGAGTTATTTGAACTTAGTTTAATTTGGTTCTTTTGGGTTTGATTTGGACTCAATTCGTTTTTTAAATGATCTGAACTTGAACCGAGCCTATTATACGTAAAATAATCAAGTTACTCAAATTCAACTCGAATAANATCAATATTAAAAAAATATATGATAATGAAACTTAAACATAAAACCTAATAGAACTTTTAATCTTAAAAAATAAGAAGAATAAATTTTAAATAAAAAAATTATTGATATTAAAACTAAAAAGTCTCATTTTTAGTTACCACTTTACACCCCCAAATAGTCTTGGGCAGCTGCTGGAGTCGTGGTTAGCAAACACGATTTCAATGAAGTCACGGCTCCAATCACTCATTTAGGTGAAGTTGCAATTTTTTTTTTATATAGAAACGGTAGAAATTCAATTGATTAGGAATATCCGAAAAGAGGAAGGATATTATGAAATCAGTTGTCTCATCTCTAGGTGTCAATTTTTGACTCGAATACGAACTTGAAAATAACACGATTAGTTGACACGAGTAATAAATGGGTCAAATTAAAGTTCGACACGAATAACACGATTAATTGGTACAGTATATAAAAAATAATTATTTAATGAGTATTGTAGATAGAAAATAAGAATTTTTTAATTTTTTAAATAATATTATATTAATTATTGTCAAATTAAATATTTTTTATTGACACGTACCGAAAGTGATATGACACGAAAATAACATAATTGAAAATAACACAACATAAAATTGATACGACACGACACGACACGACACGACACGATTAACACCCCCCTATCCCGTCAACCTCCCATACATCAAAACATCTAAAGCGAATAATGGATTTAGCTAACTTATATGCTACCTTGTTTCCTAATTTTGGACACATTATGATAGTTGAAATTATGCAAACTAAGCCTGATGTCTAGAAAAAGTTTTTTTTAATTGGAAAAGTTTATTTCACCGATTCATCACAAAATTGAAAATTTTAATTTAAATAAAATTCTAATATTAATCGAGCCAAACTTTAGGAACTTGAGTCTAAATCTGTCGAGCTTGTTTTTTTAAATGAGTTTAAAAAATTGTTTAAATTTGACTCGTTTAAAAAATGAGCTGAGCTCAAGCCAAGTTTTGTGAGTTCGAGTCGAACTTTTTTGTGCTCATTTTTTTAAATAAGTTTAAAAAATGTTCGAGTCGAACTCAAGTTTAATCTGGTATAAAATCCAAACGACTCGGCTTGATTAACACCCTAATAATTGCGTAACGATTTCAAATATCTAGAAAGTTAGAAATGGTTGACGCCACTCACACTCGGCCTTCCGTCGATCATTTATTGTATTCGGACTAAAGTCATGTTTGGCAATGACAACTGCATGCTAATTTTCAATTCTAGCTTTGGTTTAATATTTTTCCGATTCAACATCACATCATGATTGCTAAGCACGACTTAATGAACTCGTATTTAACAACCGGGAGTCTGGAAATTTGTCTTTTAAAAAAATCTAAAATAATTTATCAGGATAACAAACATACATCTAGAACTGATAATCGAACCGAGTTATTTGAACTTAGTTTAATTTGGTTCTTTTGGGTTTGATTTGGACTCAATTCGTTTTTTAAATGATCTGAACTTGAACCGAGCCTATTATACGTAAAATAATCAAGTTACTCAAATTCAACTCGAATAATTTTTCAAATTCAGTTAAAAAAAAAAAAACCCGCAAATTTTATAAAGCCTACTTACATGTATTGTGAATGTACATTTGGAACCCAAAAAAAATATGAGAACTATTTTTGGCCAGACCTTGGCATACCTCCTTTCTATAACTTTCTTTTTTTTTTTTTTTAAGATTTTTGAGAAGTAGAAAGAACACCCTTTACACTAGGGTAATGGGGGTGTCAAGTTTCGAACCCAAGTCATAAACTGGATGCACTTATCAGTCTAGTCGGAGTGAGATCATTTTTAATCTATTTTCTCTCCATTTTCTGTGTTGACTATGAATTTAAGTGGAATCAATTGTAACTAGTAGATCTCTCACTCATTAATGGTGAATGATTTGCCAATCTGAAAAACAAAGTGAAAAAGTATGAGAGAAAATTTGGATCCAAATCTAGGCAAACCTGGATTTCTTTACATGACTGTTCAAGCAAGGAGGAAATGTTGATATATTCCACCAATGACAAGATCTAAAACCTTCAATGGCTCATAGCATTGTAGAAAAGTCTCTCTTACACAGAGATGTTACATCTGTTCCATGTCTTGGCAATTAAGTTTGAACTTTTTCCCATACCAATCAAAGAATAAATGAATAAAGTCAATGTGAAGCAAGGTCCACCACCATTAATTCCAACTAATAATTCCATGTGAGCCAGCTAACATCATCGCTGTGATGTTACCAATCACCAATCCAACAAACAAAGCAAGCATGCAAAGGCAGGAAATTGATAAGGGCCCAAATAAATAGAGCCACAAAATCACCAACAATTTTCTTTCTAGCCAATGGTCGCCCAAGGTTTGACTCGGCCGTAAAGTTAATCCATCATAACCTAAGTATCACGGGGTTGAGTTGTGAAAAACAACTCTCCCACATACTTAAATAAGACTGACCATTCTCCGACCCCGCAGTGAGGGGATCTAGTGTCCTGAGCTGGAATACTCTGTATGTAGTCTTGTACCTTCTGTGACATACCATCTATTTTTCTATCTATTTTGTTATCTTCCTCCTCCTCCTCCACCACCGACACAATAACAAATTAAATATTTCCATCCACAATAATAGTGCCAAAAAAACAAGTGAAAGGTCCATTTCAATACAAAAAAAAAAACAATAGAGCAACATAAAGAATAGCAGAAGTTATGTTTTGACTCACAAGTAATGGCTGCACAAAGAAGCTAAAAAATAGCACACCACCAAACTGTGATTGAGACAGGTTCTTCCAGGATTTTATACTTGTGCATACAGTGTCGGCAAAACAAACTTAAATACAACAAAAAAATGATATGTAATTACAGTATTTATCACAAAATAACAAGAAACTTTATCTTTTGTGGGGATTTTTTGGAAATTAATGCAGTACAAGAACCTCCTCCTTTTTATCCAGCCATGCCAGGATCATCCTAAACTGCAAAAATTTGAAAAACATTGTGAGCCTATGATGCATAATTAACCAAATAACATGGATGCTGCGAATAATTACTATACTCACCGTTCTCCATTGTTGTGATTTATTCTGTCTTCTGTGAGATTTTTTTTATGGTTTATTTTCAATGACAACTAGAGAAATGAGAATCCTGTCCCAAAGCTCCCAGCATTCTACATGTTACTTCCATCAACTTGCCTGCCAAAGCAAATATAGACAGACCATGAACAATTATGCAAGCCAAATGAAATAATTCAAAAATATGTGTATACTCAATCAAATATCATTATACGTAGCCAAAAACACACATTCATGTCAGCAAGAAAGAGGAAGATTAAGAATAGACAATTCCTACACAAAAATGTCAAACAAAAACAGTGAGCTAACTGTCAAAGGGTTCTTAAATTCAATTGGACAAGCTGCCATAGGAAATTCAAGTTTGGTGAAACTTGGAGGTTAATACGAAAAAACTGGACAAAACAACAACAAATACTTTTTCAGCTGTTTATGAATGGTACCGAGTTCAGTCTTTCAGTAAATCAGGTTAAAGTGTAAAATATCATTACTTGTAATACCATTAGTCCCCTAAAGACCACAATGAATTACAAATTCAGCATCCAAAGGTGTATCAAGTCATGGCAGCTAATCATGGGGGTGTTTAGAACACTAATAGAAATAATAAGCTAGAGTAAAAGTCAATAGACAGGCTGTTCTCAACATTGAAGTTAGGAATCCAGAAAGAGAGTGGGCATCACAGCTGGGTTAGGCTGGATATGTCGCATACGAATCAAAGCACTTATCCATCATACTTGCTCACTAAAACTATGCCTCTAATCCAAATTACTCATTAGCAAAAAAGAATGATAATGAAAGCTGATTACAACAGGCTGCCTAAATTTCCCTACCTCGACTCTTATTAGCTAATAAAATTGTATAACATGTATCAAAACTTATGATATGGCCAAACATAATTGGATCATTCCATGTGAGTTTGATACATAGCTTATATGCTCAGTGCACAAATTAGTCATAAAAGCTAGGGTTAATGTGTTGGCATAAACAACGCGTTATGCCATATTCCATTTGACCCACAATCACTAATCATTCGACAAATTATGCATAATTTGTCTACTAGGATATGCTTACCTTTGGAGCATCAACTTGTAAATCTAACCAACAGAAACCGATTCCATCCATTGATGCAACATTCACAAACTCCAACCCTATTCTAAAAGGCATCTCTAACAATCAATTATGAATTAAATGAACATAATCACACATAGAATGCAATTCATATAAGCTAATAACCTTAAACAATAACAAAAACTACCTCAGCATCCAACAATTAAACCAGTGAGTAAACAAACTCACCTCTCCTTGGCTTTGCAACCACCTTAGCCACCGACTTCGCCTTTGTCACCGTAGTCTTTTCCTCCACCGGAAACAGAACCCCATCAATACCCTGCACAGAGATCCTCCCATCTGTGTAAATATCAGGATCAAACAAATATGCAGAACCTTCACCTTGCCCAAACTTCACTGACCCATCAGCCTCCTCAGCCGCCACCTTATGAGGCACCCTCAAAGTATCATACTTCACCTTCCCAAACCTCCTCACTGAATTATACATACTCTCCTCCGTTTGGTACTCCGGTATCAAATGGTAATACATTATCTGCTCCGGCGCACCGGGTTCACTCAACTGATCGGTGGTGAGCTTAGCCATGGCCTCATCATTTGGTGCCAAAACGGTCAATACATATCCTTCTGAGACCAATTTTCCCATCTCTGTAGCTAAGGAAGTCAAGTTCACCAGAATGTCCGCCATTTCATTGTACCCACCATAATGCAGTAACGTTTGGATGAAGTCCTTAACTTGGCTTTCGCCATCGAAGTGGTGGTGGGGTCCTCCAGGGCCCGGAGCCGGCGCCGGAGCTAGAGATGGACCTGGCGCCATGGCATCGTAAATGGGCAGAACAGGTGGTGCCCCAACTGGCACTGGACTCGCCGGTTTCTTCAACCGGTTAGTTCTTGGGTCTACCTCCGGTGCACCCTCCGGCAACACTGCAGAAATTGATCTCAGACTTCTTCTCCGGTTGAAATCTTCTTGAACAGATCTCGGAATCAAAACCCTTTCGATTCCATGGATAATGCCATCTGGCCTAACAATGTCGTCTGGGCGAATCATTTTGCCCAAACCCACAAGTTTTTCGCCGGATTTATGCAAAGTCAAGCTCAAATGGTCACTCTCACCGTCGCATAGAGTCTTGTGCTGAACCATTGACAAAGCTCCAGCCGGCCATTCCTTAGACCCAACTCGGTTTGGGATCATATGGAAGAGCAAAAGATTCTGAAGAGACCTGAGATTGCCTGGTTCAAGTAAGAACCGCTTAAACTCAGGGTCAAGGTCACGTTCTAGAGCCTCATTTTTTGGGGCAAAAATGGTGATATTGTGGACAGTCACAGCTTCTTCGAGGGTTTGAAGCAAAAGGGCCTTCTCGACCAGTTCTGAGAGCTCAGTGTAGTGTGAATCGAGAAGGGCTACAAGGACAGAGTTGGAGTTGATTTGGGGCGAGTTTGAAGAAGTTGAGTGTTTCGTTGCTGGGTTGTCTTGCAATGTAGCAGCTATTGTAATGAGTGCAAGAAACATTATCAGGCACAAGTGCTTGGAGACGCCATAGATCTGAGAATCCATGGCGTTTCTTCAGATTGGGAACACAATAAGGGACTTTACTTTCTCACTCTAATGAAAGACTCTTTCTCTCTCTAAACCTTCAAGGTCTGTTCCCGGGGTTGTAGTGATATATTTGTGGGTGCGTTTGGGTTTGGTGGTGAAATTAAAGTCTCCCCTCCTCTCTCTCTCTCTCTCTCTCTCTCTCTCTCTCTCTCTCTATATGTGTGTAGTGAACAGAAGGCTAAGGCAAGTCGTTGCTTTGGGATAAAAAGGGAAGGGGGCAGGTGTTGGGTTTGAGGGGCAAAACGCTGGAGTTTAAAGTCGTTTTGGACTTTTTGTGTGGGAGTGGTTCTGAGTTCGGACAGGCTGGTTGTGGGGGCCACGCGTCGAGTGGCGCTGTCTGTAGGAGTTGGGAAGTCTCTCGGCTTACGGCTTTACCAACGCTGTCGGTCTCACTTTTAGCCACGCCGTTTGGTATTTAGTCTGTACTTTGCGTCCATGCCACTCCTATCTCTCTCTGGCTTTTCTTTTTTCTTTTTCTTTTTTCCAGTTTTTGTTGCAATGTCATCCTCGTCAATCTAATATTACAGATAAAAAATTAAATTATCAACTCATAAAAATATAATAACAGTTAAAATTATTACAATTATCTTCTGATTTATTTATATATTAATTTATAATATAAAATAAGACAAATTTTAATAAATTTATCTGACGGTCTCATCTATCTAATATTACGGCTAAAAAATTAAATTATCAACTCATAAAAATATAATAACAATCAAAATTAATACAATTATCGTCTGATTTATTTATATATTAATCTATAATATAAAACATGACATATTTCAATAAACTCATGTGATAGTTTTAAATAGACTCATCCAACAACCACCAACATTTCTTTCAAAACCATTTACATTACACTGTGTCTAGGTTACCTTTAGTAATAATCTAGTTGGAGACACTTTGTAATATAAATTTGAATATTAAATAATAATTTGTTTAATTATATAATTTAAAATTAAGGTGAATAGAAAAAAAAAATAACAAAGGTAAATTGCAGTTAAACCCCCTAAACTATCACCTTTTTTATTTTATCCCCTCAACTATCAGATTTCTCACATTATATCCTCAATTATGTGATTAGTTTCATATTGCCCCAATAATTAATATCCGTTACATATTTAACGAAATGTTATTTCATTTTGTGCCCTAAAACTATGTAATTTTTTTCATTTTACTCTGACAAATCAACAATTTTAGTTCAAAAAAATAATAGATGTTTATGATTGGGACAATGTGAAACAAAAGTGTTAGTTTAGGGTACAACGTGAGAAATCTAGTAGTTGAGAGATGAAGTAATAAAATAGTGATAATTTAGGGGTGTAAGTGTAATTTACTCAAATAATAAGTATGGATTAATGAGATTGTCTAATGTTAAAGTGTGTGTTGGTTGAATTGTCTGATATTAGAATCTACGGAAAAAAAAATTATAATTTTGAGTAAGAAAAAAATTTGGGATAAATTTAATATCATTGTATCAAAGTAAATAAAAATTGAATCAATTTTAATAGTTGTCGTGCTTTTATAATTTAAGAATTCAAGTTGCTGACTATAATGTTAGACAGAAGATATATATCTATTACATATAAAACAAACATTTTCTTTAAGAAAAAACCCAATTCTTAAAATTTTATTTTTTCAAAAACATTCACTCCATGTGGCCTAAATCTCCCTTCCACTAACTAATAATTCCTAAATTTAAATAGAAATGAACCAAGTTTTGCATACGACATAATATTACACGATATAATTTATTGTCAATCCAACCTTTTTATAAAAGCCCTATTGATCTTTTTGACAAACAATGTGTTCATTAATAGAAAGTGTGGAGTTAAAAGGTGTGGGGTACCATGCTTCAAATGTAAATCATAAATAAGTATTCCATTATCTAACAATGTAAGTAGAACTATAGCTTAAGCCGCATCTACTAGTAGTGATGATACAAGAAACAAAAAATGAACAATTCAAGTCAAGTAGGTTATACATGTCACCCAAATGAGCTAACTTGGATTCATCCAGGGGTACAACTCCACTACTCATGCTCTTCAACAGAACGAACACTTCAACTTGGTGCATTTACATTCATTCTAGCAAGCAGATCATCCCACCTAACTAAAAACTAATTTTTGATAATATTTCTCAAAATTTTACACCATCAAGTGGCATGATATATATATACTATATGATTCTACTATATTCTAGAAGCTAATGAAAAACATCAACATATAATCAAGAACTACAAAAGTTATAGACTACACTGGCTTTATGACCTTACAAGAAATCTAATTTGAGCATTGTGTTCAGGTTGAAAATAAAAAATATTTGAAATCTTGAAAATTTATGTTACAAGTGGATATTCCTAAAATGGTGAAAATACAAGTAAATATTTTGATCCAAATTGATTCATATTTAAGTGCAATTAGTAGGATATGAATTAATATTTTGCCCAACAATCCATATTCAGTTTGTATAAGTTATATAAATAGGGGTAATTCGTGCCTGAAAACACGGTGCAATATGAATCGTTTTAAACAGAATGTTAGTGGTCGTTGGATGGGTCTATTTGAAACCGTTGAACGGACTTATTAAAATTTGTTCTGCTGTATATTATATAGATTTCATGGCTACCATGACCGAGTTGTGCATTTACAAAAGCGTATTAAAATATATTAACAAATTATAGATTATTTGATTAAATTAAATTATAATTCATATATAATTTGTTAAAATCTAGATTAATTTCTAGTTCTTAACAATTTTAGGCATAAAATATAAAAAAATAAAATTCATTGAATATTAAATTTAATTTTTTTTAATAAAATTTAAATTCGAATCTATCAAAATTTATTTTATTAACGGGTTTTGAAACTGTGTCAAAAAAGAAAAAGAGAGCCGGCTGAGAGAAGAGAGGAGAACAGAAGCCGAGTATTGAATACAGATATGAGGTCAGCGTAGCTGGAAGGCAAGCTGTCGGTGTTTGAATTTTTTTAATAAATTACCTGGTTTCTACGCTAAGCGACATACGAACAGCTACTTTCCTACCACGCGCGTGACACGCGTGAACTTTAGAGTAAAGGGTTTAGGACCTCAAAAATGGGGACATCTCTCCCACCGGAAGTTCATTTGTCACCTTTTTTTTTTTATTTTTTTTATTACGTTCAATTTGATTAATTTTTTTAATCCGATCAAAAATAGACCATCTATACCGTGAATAAAAAATTTATGAAGAAATAATTCTTGTAGTGTGACTCCAAAAGATTTGTCAAATTTTAAACTTAAAATATCTGAGTTTATAATTTGTCTTTTCTTTGCTAGACTCTTCCTTGGAAGTTTTTTTTTTTTTAGTTCAATAGTAAAAGGTGTCTGAACTAGTTTAAGTACAACTCAATTGATCTCTTCTTAGTGTAATTAAAGACAAATTATTTACGTCAAAATTAAAATATTTATGAAGGATATATTCTCATTATCGAACTCTAAAAAATTGACAAGATTGGATGTCATTGTTACCCCCAGAGATTTCTTGATACTCCGTTTGGAACGATGAAAAAATAGAATAATAGAATGTTGAAATGATGAAAAATTAGAGGATAAATAAAACATTATATTTGGTAAGGAAGAAAAATAGGAATGATAGAAAAGTGGATGAATTAACTTTCTTTCTAACTCACCAAAATTAATCCCTCCAAAATCAGAAGGAAAGTGGATGAAAAATTAATTATTTGTGTTGAAATGTATCTTATTTGTCTATATATTATGTATACATTAATTTCATATAAAAATACAATGATAAATATATATTAAAAAATTAAAAATTAAAATTTTAAATTAAAAAATATATTTTTTTCTTCTTAACTAAGGCGAAAATAACATGAATTTGAAAATGACCTGACAAATAAACAAGAAATAAAAAAGACTCATAATTTTATGACTCAATACGAATCAGACACGACACGACTCGATTGTCACCCCTAATTTTAGCTAACACAAAAAAAAAAAATTATTAATTTTTATTTTTCATTCATCCAACCAAATACAATGAAAAAAAAGTGTATTATTTCTACTTTTTATCCTTAAAAGATAAAAAATGTATCCCTCATATTTTTTAACTTTCTTAATTTTCATTCTTCCAACCAAAGGGAGCGCGAGAGTGACCTTCACGTGACCATAACATTACCTCATGTTTCAGTTCACATTTATTTTACACATTGATATATATATATATATATATATATATATATATATATATATGTTGATGACTGCATACTCTACAAACCTTTATTAACGTGGTTAGGTTGGACCATCCCCCTTATGCTCTCTTTGTCGGTGTCATTGACAAACTCCCCACCACCGCATATACACCAAAAACAACCCATAAAAACTAAAAGAAATTATACGATTGGACCAAAGACACTATTTATCTTATTATTTTTGAATAAAAACATCGTATAATAATGTCATGGTTGCTTGTATTAGGGATGTCAATGGATCGAAGCGGGGGCGGGGGTATAGTCTTCTTCCCCGTACCCACCTAAAAAATTTTTGTCCATCTCCGGTCCACCCCCGTTAATGGGTATAATTTTTATCTCCATTTTTGTCCACGGGTAAATTTATAATCCTCATCCCCGCTTCTCCTGTACTTGCCTAAGCACAAGATCAAGCTCAAGCCTAAGATTAAGCTAACATAATACCAAATTTTAAATAAATTCAATATATTAAATAATCTAACAACATTTTAAATAATATAACACAACATAATATAACATAACATATTCGAATATATCACAAACAACAAATGTCCAAAATATTACTTAAATTTGATATAATTGAACAATACACAACATAACACAAATAACATAATGGGTGGTAGAATCATCTCAATTAACTCAATTATCTCTTAACACCAGCTTTACACCAACTCGGAATTAGAAAAGGGATGTATGTTACAAATACACAAGCAAATATTTTAACACTACTAATTTTTTCAGCATAGGCAAAATCATAAGAATTAGTTGTTCCTACTTAATCAACTACTCAATATAAAGCTTTGAATGCAGGTGAAAAAATATAAACCACCTCAGATGGTAACAAAAAATCATAGCTCGCTGAAGAAGGTCAGCCATGGCAATTCTCCAATAAAGATTGTATGGGAGTTGGGATTAGTAAGATAAACAAATAATGCAACAATCTTACACGGTTAATAATACTCTCAAAGTCAAAGCAACAACAAGAAAAGAACAAGACCAAGAAATATACCCAAAAGTACATTAACAAGTTTACAAGATGACACAAATTTTTAAAGCAATGATAGATAGCAAAATACTTGATACATTAAACTTCTACATCAATACTTGATGGGTAACGGGTAACGGGTAATGGATAACGAGTAACAGGGTGGGCCCCCTTTACCATTATTTTTTTGGTTTAGTCAAAATAAGTGGTCAGAAGATTTTTGCAAGTCACTTGATTTAGAAATTTTGTAGTCAAGGATAGTGAATTTATAGACCTTACAATAGGGTTCTAAAAAAGTTCGAGATTTCACCATTGAGTCTCGTAAAAGACATACTCATTCATTCAAATTGTATAGTTTGAAAGTGATTATGCACGTTCCAAGTTGACATTCCAACCAAGAGGTTAAAGAATATGTGCTTCGGGTGGTTCTCGACTTCCCACAAAAAAAAAACTTAAAAAATAGTCAGTGCTCATTCACCTTGTAGGGTTATATGAATAAACTTGCTGTTGGTCTCTGGACCCTAAGTGCAAACTAATGTTCCAGAAAGACAGCCAGTGCCCGGTGGAGGAGAAACCTTAAGCATAAAAGAAACAAACAATATATCTGAATCAAGGAACTAAATTGTTTCGTTACGGTCAAAATATTTTTATTTTATGAAAATTAAAACTAATTATTGATTAAAAATTAAAATTCTTTGGTATTTTTCGACCAATATTGTAAAAATAAATTTTCAATTATTTTTTTTTTGTTTCCATTTTGATTCCAAAATATTTTCGAAAAATTATCGAAAAGTTTCCATTTTCAAACTCACCAAAACAAATTTTTAATCTTCGATCTGAATCAAGTTTCCTGGCAAATACAAAGTTATTTTCAATACCAAATGGACTGGGTCTAATTGTAACTTTATTGAAAGAACTATTAGCCAAACCAATCATATATTAGCATTCAATCTGTCATCTTAGCCAAACTTCAACCTGATAGGTAAATAAGCAAGTTGAAATCAACTAGTTTTTAAGGATTCGGATCCCCTCCATTACCCCCCTTTTTTTCAATTCTTTTCAATGCAATGCTAGATGAATGATACGTGTAAAATTCTAAATTTCAATGGACAAGATTTTTTTATTGTAAAAAAATTCTTTAATAATAGTTAACACTCCACCAACAAAATGAATAAGAAAACATTTTATCTATTGAAATTCAAAATTTTACATATGTCACTCATCTAGCATTGTATTGAAGAAAATTGAAAGGAATGGGTAATAGAAGGGATACAAATCCAGTTTTTAAGTAACCAACCACTTGAATCACTTTGCTCCTTTCGCTTGACCTGCCTGCTTGCAAACGAACTTCTCAAGCAGATGTACTGCCTATACTACCTACCTACCCCAAATGTTGAACATGGTAGAATGCCATCTCCAATAGAATGACACTGTGCATCAAACACCATTGGACAACCATCTGCACTTCGTCGCCAGGCATGGACACCTGAAAGCTAGATGCAACATTCCAATAAACAAGGTTGTGTTTTATTTCATGCTGTCATGCATACGAGTAATAATATTCCACACATAAATCTCTGCCAAATTCTCCTTATCTTTCAGTGCAAACCCCGGGTGGGTTTATATATATATATATATATATAAACAAACATACAGGCACATTTCAATGATATATATATATATATATATATTGTTCCCACAAGAAAGCTCTCTCCCTCTCCCTGTTTTATTACAATTTGACATCAGGTCTTCATGTCTCCGACTCTCCTTCCAAGCCCTTTCTCCTCAGCATGTCATAGTTGGAGGCAAGGAATTCACGTTCTGAAAACAAGACCTCAACTCACTTTAGCATATTGAATATATATATAAAAAATAGAAGTTCAAACAAACTTTCAAGACACAATCAGTTGGTTTTGTTGACTCAGGGTCCCAGGTTCCTGCTCAGATTCTTACAGACCAGAGGCCTGTTTAGCAGTTCTACACACTAAGCATTGGAACTACATACCTACTGAAAGTAATACTACTAGCAAACAATCAATTAATTCAGCCAGACCATTTACAAACATAAAAACTAATCTAGTCCAATATTTTTTCGCAAATGCACACGCATTAAAATCAATGTCTTCTGTCCTCTCATTGTCTATATAGTGATTGACATTTCTTTGTGTGTGTGGAAAGACTGCTTTAACAACCATGAAACTAATTGGTAAGGATCTGAACATCACTAGTCCACTAGTCTTGAACTTCAAGCTAGGCCTTTTTGCCACTTACCATCAATTCAATGGCAACAAACACTGAAGTATTGTTTTCCTTGCATAACTTGCCTTGGTTCAACAGCCACCAAACATTGAAGATAGATACTTACTAAAAGCAAACTTTATGTCTGTATCTAATTCATATTTCCTAGCATTCTCCCTCAACCAGAACTACACACAAGGTAACTGTCCTTCAACAAACCAGAAAACCTCAATCGCACCTTGTGACCCCCATAAAAACAATAACATAACATCATTTATGCATGTTTCATGACTACCTTCATACCACTGAGTTTATTGCGGACATCCACAAAATGAAGTTCCCTTGGAAATTCCACAAGTTGAAATCTCAATAATGAAATCCATTGATATTTATGTCCATTCATTCCCAGAACACTAGCATGTTGGTTGTTTTTTTTTTTTTTTGGTG